TAACCTTTCAAATCTTTTTATGAGACTCTAAACTAATGAATACAGTTCATCTACTTCTCTATGTTTAAAATAGAAAGAAAATTGTACTTACAGAAAATGTAAGCTGTTATTATTAATTAACACAATGCCGTGCAGTTTTCTTTTCATTTGCACCGCAGATGCTTATATCAGCGTGCTTTTAAAGTGACGACATTGTTTTAATAATCTCCGAAGAAAGTCTTTGTATATGTTAATTTGTTAAGATGTTTAGCGCATTTGCTCCGAGATTAATGTAGGGTCGCACATTTATACTTATAAAATTGAGAAAATTTTAAATTCTTGAAGTAAATTAAGATTTTTACAAAGCTGGCCATATCTTTGTGTATATACAAGTGTAAAAGTTTTAAGTGATATGCAAGTAAGGGCGCTGGTGAAATTACGGCCACCTGGGACTTGTCAACTTATGTCTCAGAGTGACGGGCGCACTGACACTGCCTCTTTAGATCTTTGCGATTTGAGCTCTGAGTGACACTGCAATAGATAGGCGCGTCGCTTAACACCAGGCGCACGTCTTGTTCGTCCGGTGACGTTAGACTTATTATAAAAAAAGATTAAAATTCAAATATCTTAATTTCACAATAAATTATACTTCGTACCTTCGATGTAACTAGGGCACAACTGCATAATGACAATTTTTCGGGAGAGAGATTTAACGACTCTACCAATGAAAAGATACTGAATAGGAGGGTAAAAAAAATCACATAATACACATAACATGTTTCACGTGGTCCGTATTACATGTATCAAAAGTGTCTAGGGATCAAACACGTTTTTGTTAATTACTATAAAAGTATTTTTTTAAATTAATTATATTTAAATTTAATTAATCAATAAATATAATAAATCATTCAATTTCATTTTTCAAATTATAAAATTGAAAATAAAAATCGGTGTAAAATTTTTTTTCAATAAATAAACTTCATTTTTAGTAATTGGCAAAACCGTGCTTGATCCCTAGACACTTTTGATGTGTATTTTTATGAGTATCAGTGATAAAAGCACTTTTGACGTATGATCCATTACCTAAGGTATGATCACATGTGAATCAACTGTATAAGGGTATGGTTTGAAATCGATGCATTCATTAAACACTATTATTTCTTAAGATGAAGGTTTTTTTTATGATACAAGTGTAAATAATAATGAATTAATAAGGACAAGTTTATTTTAATTTCATAATTAACCACATTAACTACTTTAAACATTATACGCTCGTAGGGTGTAGATTGGGCGAAATGTTTTTTTTTTTGTATAAAATAAAGTGATGTCACGAACAAGTCGTGCGCCTGATGTTAAGCTGCACGCCTGTCCATAACAGTTGCAGTGTCACTAAGAGCTTTAAATCGCAAAGATCTGAGAGGCACTGCCACTGCGCCTGTCACCCTGAGACAAGTTGATAAGTCTTATATACCTGTAATTTCACCAAAACCCTTACCCTTCAAAACCGGAATGCAGTAATGTTCACGTTACTGCTTGGCTGCAGAAATAGGTAAAGTGGCAGTATTTCTCTGGACTAACTCTTTCACAAGAAGCTCTACACCTACAAAGGTACTCTAGGGGCTACCATATACGTAAAGAGACATTTGTCATTTCGGATTACAACCTGTAAGAACTAAACGGGTCGATATCATGGATTTTTGATCATCCAAATACGCTGAAGTTGTACTAAAAAGTTTTTGTTTCGCTATAGTTTTAAACCCCGTATATTAAACGTAAATTTTGAATTTACTTACATTGACCTATATGTGTTATATATGGACCTTTGAATAAATTTGTGAGTTTGTGAATACTACTATCAAGAACAGCTAGTCTTAACTTAATATACTCGTAATATCTATGACTCTTATTCATGAAAATGATTACTTTTTCATAAAGGTACTGCGGGTGCTACTATAGGAATGTTAATTCCTTTATAGTTAGCTCTTAAAGACGAAATTTGCCCTTACAGCACGTTTATGTTGGACAAAGATACTATTATTATTGGCGGCATTATGAACTGGAAAAGTACGAAACTAATTTAGCTGTTCCCAAGCCTCATCGAGTATATAACCAGAAATAGAGATTAAATGTGATTTAACTTGTTTGAAAACTATTCTGCCAAATCATTACGGTGACAACTGCGCTCCGTTTGGCCAGTCCAAATCCGAAACAATTGACGACAATTGTCTCTCTTCAAAACGACCAGTTTAACTTGAGCATTGCTATAATGGACGAAAATTTAAAATTTACATATTTAATATTTAATTACCGATGAAATGTGATTCCGTTTCTTTTGTAACTAGATGTTTTGCTGTTTTTCCCACACCACCGAACGGAACAGCCCCCATAGTTAGAGATAATATCTTTATTACAATAAATACAGAACATTTTTTGAATATACGGAGACGTACACACAGGTCAGTTGTTGGCGCTGTACTATTTCAGCTTCCTAATTTGTGATTTCAATGTCAACGAGAGTGGACATTTAAAAGTGATATAAGGCCCATTTGCCAGTTGAGTTGCCAGGGATGGATGGCTCTTACTTCATCTTTATTTCTGGTTATATACTCGATGCCACGCCTCAAAGTTGTCCCATTTTTAATTGCACACCCTGAGCTGAGCCGTTTCAACAACTTAATAATTTGTGAACCCCATTCCAATTTAACATAGTTATACTTAAAAATACAACTGTATCTACAAGGTCACATTTTTCCTTTACAACTATAATGAGGTTGTCTGTCCAAAATTGGGAATTGTACACACAATTTATTGTTTCTCATCTATGGAGCAGATTATTTTTTTTATAACTGTAAACCAACCGAGTGCCTTACGTTTATTTGTTCACATCATTATTACCATTGGTGCCTTGTATCTTTAAAAGTATCACAAGCATAAAGTCTTGTGCTATTACCAATGATTTACAACAACGTTATAAGTTGTGCTACGACGTATTTACACTGTCACATAAGATTTTTCTATCTGACGTAGGCTTTAGAGCGTTCATCCATCACGCACGGTTCTGCCAAGCGTTAAATTTGCTTCCGCTCTCTCGGTCCCGCATCATGGAAAAAATGTTTGTACACAATTTCCATTCTTATTTGTTCATATTGCTCTCTATAAATATTGGACGGAACCGAATATCATTTGGTGGCCAAATAGTTACGTTGTGGGATATAAATAACACGTCTCACTACAATGGACATATAAAAATTGGAATTGTTCCTAATGGTAAACGATTCCAAAGGTGATTCAAAATGCTCCAGGTAAGTAACATGAGCATTATTGCGTTCCAGTTTTGTAAGGTAAGTATGTAAGGTTTTTGTGATTTAAAACTCTAAGTGACATTGCATGCTATGGGTAGGCGTGTCGCTTATCACCAGGCGCACCACTTGTTCATTCTGTCCAAGTCAAAGTCAAAGTCAAAGATTATTTATTCCATAGGTAAAATAAATTTACACTTGAAATCGTCACATTTAAGCTACTGCTCGTTCGCTACGCTGACCTCCCTGAGAAGAACGAGCAAGAAACTCTAGGGATCGCTCTTTTCAAATAAACTTAAATGCTACGGAATACACTTTGAATCAAATTTGTGTGGATTCTGGAGCCATGTCGTCTTTCCATACATCTTTATCTAACACGTAGTCTTCAATTTTGTAATATGATTTTTCGATCAAAATATTTTTAATGTAGTTTTTAAACTTAGGAAATGATAAACTTAATATATGCTCCGGAATCTTATTGTGTCACTTGGAATCACAATAATCTCAGTACAGAGTACTAGAAAAACTGACCTCAAAAGATCGTGGAATTACGTCTATTTGCCAAGTTTTATTGAAATCGGTTACCGGAAAGTGTGCGAAACGGATTTATCCCATAGTTTGCCACCCTTAGAGGTCGAATGTTTTCTTCAAATTAAAACGGGACCACTACCAAAGTATTCTCTTTCCAACAAAAAAATAATCATCAGTGTCGGTTCACAAGTGCCTATGGAGTTATTGCGTAACATACATACAAACTTAGGATAATAACGCATAGAAACCTAGTTCGCACACGCTAAGTGAGGCAAATTGAAGCGCGCCCAATGGGCCTACACGAGCGGGACGGGCCTTCAGTGCTCAAGGTCAACTTGCACCGCGAACAGATCAAGAATTTTAGCTAAAAATGACGAAATGTGCGGTAAATGAGTGTAAAAATACGTCAGACAAACATAAAATAGATATTAACATCACATTCCACAAGGAAGTAACGCGTTTCAATTTGTATTTTTATATAAATATTCACTAAAACCGAAAATTAACCTACTACTAAAACTAGCCTACATGAATTTGATTTTTGCCTCACTTGTGACAGGTCATTTGATATGAAACTATCATTCTATGCGTTATACATAGAATATAAGCATACAAAATAAAACATGTAGTCCAATTGAGAACCTCCTCCTTTTTAAAACAAATGGAAATTCATTTGTATCATTTGCTTTGTGTTACAATATCAAATTACGAGTTAAACTTAATATTGGACGCCCTATTTAGTTAATTGGTATAATATTCAGAATTAGTAGCAGTAGAGCTCCATGTGAAAGAGTTCGTCCAGGATAATACTGCCACCTTACCTATTTCTGCCGCCAAGCAGTAATTTGAACATTACTGCGTCCTGATTTTGAAGGATAAGAGTGCTAGTGGAATTACAAGCATATAGATCTTGTCAACTTATGTCTCAGGGTAAGAGGCGGAGTGGCTGTGCGATCTTTGCGACTTAAAGGTCCGAGTGGTGCTGCAACTGCTATACTGTATAATCGTTTACCACCAGGTGTACGACTCGTTCGTCCCGTCATTTGGTACTAAAAAAAAGTTTTGTATCGGGGTTTTTTAAATTTTAATTTAAGTGTTATGGCTATTGCACTGTTAATTTTGAAAGTAGTTAAAATGTAAGAAAGTAACCATGTAAACACTTTCCTAATATGTATATTCCGATTGTTGCAGTAATGATGGGAAGTAACGTCGTCGTGGTCTCGATGTGCGCGCTCGCCGCCCTCTGGTCGCTGCCTGTGGCTACTGCGCAGGCCATGGTACCACAGTACGAGAGTAAGTTTTCTATAATATATATCTTTATAACGATTACAATGATACATATTTATTGGGTTGATTAAAAAGTTCGCCCAGTATTAAACTGTAAAGGATAAAAGAGGTAACTTTCTTAAAGTTAATGAACTTGCTCTTGACCTCCTAAGGTCGACTCCTGCTACGTAATTTTTCGTAAGCTGTGGCTTAATTAGGTAAGTACTTTTGTTCATAAGTCTTTCTTTTTACGTAGGTCTATTATTATGAGTTACAGAAAAGTTTAAGGACTAATCATAATCATGGTCATAATCTTTATTGTATCAATGTTGTAGCGCGTAAGATTTTAGGTGGCAGCAGTTCTCAACATAATAATAATAACGCACACACTCAACATAGCTCCACATTAGGGAAACCCTGTGTCGCGGGTGCCATGTACACACACATAGACAACCACAAACAAACATGAGTACTGTAAGAACATAAAATGAAATTATTACGAAATAAATTTAAATAATCATTAATAATAAAATAATTATATTTACATATGAATTTTTATAAATGTATTGTATACAATGATATCCCGCAGACTTAGTTTATTCACTGCGGCTAGGGTTGGCTGTGTGTCCTTTGTAACTTGTAATTTTCAATGTCATTTATTTGTGCAATAAAGAATTATTATATTCATGAGATACGCAATATCTTATTAAATAATAAATGAAATATGAATTTAGTAAATTGGAATTACAGTCCTCAATTTACCAAAAACTAAATATGTTATGTTCTACTTAATTTCTAAAAATGTTCTATTGTCGTAATAGTGCTTTTCTAAATGGAATCCTTTTAACCTTTTCAAAATATAAAAATATCACACCTTGTTCCATATTATTTATAATATAATTATGTATTTTAATTGACAAATGTTCTTGAAGTTTACTTATACAACTATGTGTAATTTTGGTGAAAGGTAAAGGGAATTTGTTTATATTTCTTAAAGCATATGTGTGAAAGTCTACAGTTTGCCATTATAAATGTTTGTTTGTACGTTTCCAAATTTCGAATATATAAATTGAAGTAAGAGAAATTATCTTGTATTCCACGAAATGAGGTCGACTACTTTAGATATCTGTTGTATTCACCAGAATATGAATGCGTTGTTTTTGTATTATAAACTGTATATTTTCCTGTATGCTGTTGCCCTACAAAATAATACCGCAGGTTAGCGTTGACTAGTTTCTACTTATTTTACCTACTAGGTCCACAAATATTACAAACGTGATATTTTAACTGAGATTGTGATATTTCAACTTAGATTTAACTATATTCATACGAATATATTCGTTTAATCTACTTAATAGACGGTAACCCTCGCTCCAACTATTGTAGGGCCGAGGGCCATCATTGCCTCCAATGTTTGTTTTTTTCGGTCAGCCGTGACTATGGAACCTTTACAGGGTCCGAAATGTTGTTTTGTTTGAAAAACCAAATATACGCGACTTAGATCCGAAAAAAGGTTTCGTTTCCTATGCATAACAATCACAAAAACCTAAAAACTCGATACAGACGGACTATTTTGAATATTACATAACAAGTCTTTTGATGTTAATTAAACGTGCAAAGCTCTTAGAATTACATTAAACAAACTTAAGATGTAAACGTATTGTGCACAAACTTGGAAGTAGAGACAGAACTTTGTTGTTAATGGGAATGCATCCGAGTGTGAATTTAACCTTTGAAATCCATGCATCTGAAGCTGGATATTGTTGTCTGGATTTAACCCGGGTTTACATTTGTCTGACGTGTCGTGTCGTGGCTCGTCAGAACGGTATCGGTTTCATACATTTAATATGGTTAGATTTATATTAGTGTGCCGCAATCTGACGTGACGGTTTGTGCTGTGTATATGAAACCGATACCGTTCTAACGCATTACGATACGACACGTCAGCAAATGTAAATCCGGTTTGGTCTTTAATAAGACGTACGATAAATGTTGGATTTCATATTTTCTTTTTTTTTGTATTAGACATTTATCAAAAATAGTATAGGGTAGATCTTAGCACTTGCGAGGACTTCCTTCCTTTGTATCCTCCATCCTCCTCCAACCGGCCAATGAGTTGGCAACAAAAATAAGACGACAGTCTAACCTATGACACTGAACTGTGTGCATCATATAAATATAAATAAATAACGCACACACTCAACATAGCCCCGCACTAGGGAAACCCTGTGTCGCGGGTGCCATGGACACACACATAGACAACCACAAATTACACCCAAACTCACGAGAGAAATAAATGTAGGCCATACAAATATTTCTCCCGGCCCGGGAATCGAACCCGGGGACCTCTGCGTGGCAGTCCGGTATGGTAACCGTTCGGCCACGGAGGCAGTTCATATCATAAAAATGGTTAATTAGCGCGATTGTGTTTTTTAATAGTTTATTTTGTTCGCAATACACTGTACTGTGCTCAGTAGTGAACCTGAGGATTTTTCCTCCTGTGGCGGCCGTATCCAGGCGGAATTGCTGCCAGCGCAACGAAAGAAAAGGTGAGTGTGCATGTTCCCATTATTTTTCCTGTTCTTCGACCTACTACCATATACTTGTTCCAGTCCTTATAGGAAACTACTTGCAAGTGCAGTTACTCGCAGTACAAGTACCTTTTAATGTAATTAACAAAAATCGCAACAAAATACAGTCCACTACTTATCGGTATTATACATCTTCATTTCGCACCAGCAGTAAAATTTATGCGGAAGATAATTTATCATAGATGCAGTGTTAAATGAAATGCTTTGCCTCTTTGATGTCGGTCTATGGAACAGGGGCCCTTGAAGCATGAAATCCGTAGTTGGTGGTTCGCCTATCCATATCAATTACATTGCGCCTCAGAGCTTTAAATTGCAAAGATCTGAGGCGTGCTACCACTGCGCCCGTCACCCTGAGACATAAGTTGACAAATTCCATGCGCCTGTAATTTCACCAGCACCGTTACCCTTCCAAATTGGAAGGCTGTAATGCTCACATTATTCCTTGGCGGTGGAAACAGGTAAGGTGGCAGTACTTCCCTGGACGAACTTTTCTACAAGGAGCTCTATGAGCTGAAGGAGCTGATGCACTCGTAATGTTATGAAAGGTATACAATTTATGTAAGAAATATTCCCTAATAATATTGTATGAAATATAATTAAGCAGTATGTCAATATTACTAACAACTATATATTAATATTTAATAACTATACAAGTATTATTAATATATACTATTAATAATATACTATTATAGTAGCAACTTAAATTAAATTACAGCCACTTAATGTATGCTAGATTAGTGATGAATAATTCTGTACGACGGTTTTGTATCACGTAACCATTTAATATGAAACCAAAGTAAACAACGTTGGAGTACGTGTAGGCAATGTAAATAGGTTTTAGTCTGTTTTTTTTTTAATTTACTATGAGCTTTTTGGTAAAGCAAAACATCGTGATAAAACCTGCACGTCGAAGGAGGTTTACAACCCTTGTAAAACGTGTGAAGTCCTCAACCCCCCCATTTGACCAGGGTGGCAGACTATGGTCTAAACCCCCGCCTGAGAGGAGACCCGTACCCACGGACCACGGACCTTACGAATTTTTCTATATGCTTGTTGCTTACCGAAACACCATCTGTGAGACATCTAATTCTTCACACAGCAACTAGCAGCTGACTACAGATGTCGCTTTAATAATTGTAATTTTTAAGTTTTTTATTGAATGTCACAATGTTTCACCATTATATTCCAAAAATCATTAAAAACCAAAAACAAATTTCTGCAACAAGCTTATAGTACATAACAAACTAGTGAAGTAATTTCCCAAAAATAATTGAATATTATTGAGAAACATCGTGACCTTCAATAAAAAACATTAAAATCATATTATCCCTTACAGCACAGAATGATACGATTGTGCATTCAACTTTGAAAAAATTTGGGTATAAAAGTATTCAACTTTACCGCGTCGGATCAACACCGATCGTTTGTGCGTTCGATCAATACTCGCTGTTAAAGCAGTGCGGCCGTGTTCTAGGGTTACACACCGGTGCCGAGAGCGACAAGTGAGGTATACGCCGTGTCGGACGTCAGGTCGAAAAGCAAGATTTTTTTAAATTTCATCATTTCATATTTTCTGACCTAATGGTGTATTTTCTTATTAAGTACATGTTATATATTTTACATAAAAAATAATTAAGCAGTGAATTGTTAGAAAATATTGATTTTATTCAGTCATAAAGTCATAAAACACGATCGTGCTTGTCAGGATGGAAATTACTAGATTAGTTTTTTTACTTATTTTTTTTTTGTTTTTAGGGTTAACGTTAACATGCGATTTGGTTGCACAAATCATCGGAAACGTCGACAAATCGGAGTTAGGTGAATCTGACCTTGACCATTGAGAAAAGGAGATAGAAAGTGGTAATGACTCGTCACTGTATAGCTCCTCTATCAGCTCAGAAAAAATCGAATCTAAACCTGGATTTAATGCTCTCATATCGTCTCCGAGCAGTCGTCGTGGTAGTAATCGCAGTTGTGCTACCGTATATCTAATCAAGTCGTATTTGTATCCAGAAAGTCGATCAGCGGAAACTCTCACCAGCCCAGACCAACCCTATATCTTTCTAAGTTAATTTTGTTTAGAGTGACCCTCTCTACCGACCCTGAGGATATACGAGAAGGACACTGTAACCTATGTGCGTACAGGAACCTTCTAAGTTCAGGTTCTGACCCCAGATCAGCCAGTATACAGGGCTGTCACAGACCTCTGTCACTTGACCTCATCCGGTTCTTCGAGAGGCTAGTACCTCGGGTACGGGTATTGCACAACTAGCGGTTGCCACCGCTAAGCCGTCGACTCGGAGTCCTCTACCAAATGCCATTGGTGGTGGAGCTGTAAGACACGCTCACTTCCATACGCCCACAAACGACGTCTCTCCACTTCGCAATAACCTAAGCTGCTGGAGGGACCGGAGGATATCTAGCTTATCCTTTACT